GTTATATGCAAGAGGAGGGGAATGAGCTTGCTAAATCTGACAGGAAAGAAGGCTGACCTCTGTTAAGGGTGGCAATAAGGAACTAGAGTTCAGACTAAGACAAGAGATCTGAAAGGTTTCCCCATGAAGTGGCCAGTAAATTAATCCTTTAAGTTCTTGTCTTTTCCAAGATTTTGGATAGATTATTTCAGTAAACTTTCAGTAAATGAAGTCAGTGGCTGAATCTGTCTGTCACACAGATTTGGGATAAGTATCATTAAGCCTCTTTAAAAAAGAAATATTTGATTTCGCATAAAGTACAGTACCTGGACAAATAGAGAAGTAAGGCAAATGCTCCAGGATCCTGTTTCTGGTACACATGATATTGTGTAAATTTTATGAAAAATACAATAAAAGTGAGTAAGGAGTAACTAAATAACAGGACCTAAATTTGATAATCTAGGCTGCTGTTGAATGATTTCTTCACATTACCAGCTTTTTATCTAGTGTGAAGAATTCTCATCAGGAAAATTGAGAAGGGAGCTATGAAAGAAAATATTCTTGGTGCTAATTCTGTCTCTATCTTTTCTTTTTTTAAATTAGAAATCCTAATTTTTTTCCAATGTGCTGATTAATTCTGTTCACATGCCTAGCCTAGCCTGAGACAGCTCAAGTAAAATCCTGATTCCCTGAAGCCAACAGCAATCTTGCCATTGTGCCAGGTATCTGGCACATGCAGTTTTGATGGAAATTTACCCTGAGGACTTGATTTCTTGAAAGCTGTGGGGTACCTCAGTGTTTGCATCCAAAAGCTGAGGAAGAATAACATAGTGACTCTGGAATTTGTTGTCTCATTCTGCTGATGAGAAATGCAAACACAGAAAACTCAAGAATAATATTTATGTGCAGCATTGCTTAGATTATAATTGCATATATTCTCAATAAGAAAAATGAGGTGGTATAAAGAACAGTCATGTTTTCACATACACAGGGCTTCAGTAAGTATTGGCTTCTTACATGTGGAGCTTTCTTGCATGGTACCAATGATTGTTGTCCACTTAAAAGTAATTAAAATGTCACAGCATTCAATAGAAATCCTAGTACCTTTTGGAATAAAGCTCTAATAATAAGAAAAAGAGGAGCTGTTTCTGAATTTATTTTTTTTTTTTCCCAGCTGAAAATTGACTGGCAGCTATCAGCAAATGGAGACAGGGAAACTGTCAGAAGTATTCGCCTTCTAAACTGCTGTCATTGCCTACAGTCTTCTTGGAACCAGATTTCTATTTGCTGACTGCATAGGCATTTTGTAGGAAGCTTTTTACTGAAAATACAAAAAACTAACGTTTGAATTGCTTTCGGATTTTCTTATAGGATTTTGTTTTATTTTGAAAGCCTCTGAGCTGGATGTGTATTTCGTTCCTTTTTCTTTCTTTTTTCTTTTCTTTTTTTTTTTTTTGTTGTTTTTCTTCTAAATATCTTCCTTGTATCCTGCACAAAGTAGAATGCAAAATAATTAAGCAAGTAAGTTGTGAATCTCTGACTACAAAATAATACTCCCCCCCTCAACATTCTCAGTGATTCCATTTTTAACTGAAGTTTTGGCCCGTAGTAGAGACAATAACAACTTGTTTTAATCTTTTTAAAGTTCTAGGTTTGCATTATAACTTCAAAACCTAGTCTCAGTCTAGAGGTTTTTGTAAACTTCATGATGTTACTATTCACACTTAATTCTTGATGACACCTTAATTCTTAAATTGCTTACAGATTTATTTTTTTCCCCCTCAATGCTATTTAAACTCCTTCTTAACACTACAAAAGGAGCAGAAAATTCCCAGTCAGAACTTTTCAGTGTTAGATTGTCTACATGAGTCAAATACTTTTAGGTATTTTTGCCCTTCTTTGACATTTGAAACCAGACTACTGCCTTCTTACAGGGCTGCTTTCTGAGTCTCACAAACAGCTCGGCATTATACAGAGAAGACTCAGCTCAGTTTCTCAAACAACATTTTCATGCCATGCTACCCACACAAAAGAGTTTGGGGCTTTCCTCGCCTCTTCAGTGTTGATACACTTCCTTTTTTATTCCTGAGTCTCCAGTCAGTGTGGCAATGTGTGGCCTGGAGGCTTGGCTTGTGACTCTTTGGATTTGCTCGATTCAATAAGCTGATACACAAATGCCTGGAAGGATTGTTAAGGTATGCTCACTACACCTAGAAATTATGGAGTTTTTGTGGGCTTGAGAAGTGGAAACTCAAGTCCAGGCTTGAATTTCAGGTGCTTCACTTTGCTCTGTGTGTGTTGTAGTGTTCCCATAAAGGGGAATGCTGTGTGTGTGTGTTTTGTAGCACTCCCCAGGGGAAATATCAAAACTGTATCTTCTTTGGAATCAGAGATTCATCTGTGTCCCAGGTATGTGGCACAATCTCTACTAATATGAAAAACAGGGGTGCCCCCATGTCAGGTATATTCATCCTGTGAAACACTGTAGTATCGTTGTTTCCCTGTGATGCTTGAGTATTTCATTTGCTGGAGTAGTGCAGTGCAGGCTCCAAAAAATTATGTTATACACACTGTGAAAGGTCCCAGCAATGCAGCCAGTCCTGGTTGACGGGGAGCTGACCCCTTCAAGCTAGTGGTTTAGCTGTTTGCTAAGAGTATGAGAGTAGGAGGACTTAGAAGCTAATGAGAATTTCAGTTTGAAACAGACAGTGGATGGTTCAGTGGATGGTGAGATTCAAAATGGAACCATTTCACAGTTATGATCTCAGTTATGTTTTAAAATGTTTGGGAGAAAATGTCTATGGATTTGGAAAAGAAAACCCCACCAGCTAGAGAGAAATAATAAAAAGTTGTGCACAATGCTAGCTGCCATTAAAGGCTGGATGTTTCTCTTCATTGTTTCAAATAATTTCATCAATCTAGAGAAAATTGCTACTTATATCTTTTTGGTGTGTTTTCAGAGTGGATTTTTATGGAAGAACAGGACTGTGCTGAGTCTTGGACAGGTTAAGCCCATTGCTTTCAGAGGAGCTCTCTGAAAAGTCACAGAGCATTTTATGTTACTGTTGCATAGTGATAAACAGTCCTTGCTTTGTGATGAATAATTCAAATGAAAGCGGCTGTTGCGCTGCAAAAAAACAGAACAGATTTTGTGAGTATGCTGTATAATGGGGGACAGCAAACAGTGGTGGCCCTTTTCCAGTTTTGTGCCCTCCTCAGGAATAGATTCAACTGATAGAGAATTCTATAAATTTCCAGAATAAAACAAATAATCCCCCAACACCAAGAAGTATTCCCTATCCTGGGTAGAAGTAAGGCTGGAACTCAAAGGAAAAAAAGTGCCTTTCTTTCTTTGTTTATTCTTAGGGGTTAGTGTTGAGAAGCAGTGTAACAGTACTCACCAGGAAGGCTACAAATAGTGTGACCGCTGGCAAGCTGCCAGTATTTAGGAAAAAGAGCTTTCTGCATCCAGCTTTCCTTAGTTCCCAACTTAGAAATTTCACTGGGATTTTCACATGGTCCTAAGCTTTGCATGTGTGTTATCCCTATACCACAGAAGAAGCAAGCACCCTTTTCCTTTCATGGGAGAGCATTAATAGCTATGTCCAAAGGCAAACATACATTCTTCTGGTGAGTGGACAAATGAAATTTGAAAACCATTATACTGTCCAGTGTTTGTACTGAATAGCTGAATTACTGGGAGCTGCCTCAGGATCATCTGGGAGGTTACTTAGCTTTTGGTTTGATCTTGGACCCATCTTCCTATGTAAATAGTGTAAGCATTAGGTAAGAATGATTAAAGTATTAGATATTGTAAGATGTCATGTGTTTCTTCATTAAACAGCCTTTGAAAATTAAAACAGAAGTCATCAGCCCAAACAGAGTTCTGTGGTTAATGTTTTTTTCCTGTTTTGATTTCATCTAGTTATTCCCTTCAGGCATTTATAATCTTATTGGGGGGCAGCCTATGAAATGTACTACCAGGGGAAAACAATTCTTCATAGCACACCACCTACTTGTGGGTTTTCATGTAACTGCTGCTGTGAAAACTGGCTTGGTTTGGACTCTGGGGTGACCAGAGGAGGTCCTGCCCATGGTCAGTCACCTGCAGCACCTGCTGGAGGGGCAATTGCTTCCCCAAAAGGTTGGGCACATGGGGCAGCGACAATGGGAGTGTGAGCTGTGCAGAGAAGTGAGGGATCAGCAGATACAGGGAGAAGTAGGATGTACTCAGAAAATAGACAAGCGCTACCTGTATGCAGTCAAAACCTGTAATCACTTTGATTTCTACTTGTGTGCATTTAAACCAGATAAGCTTTTTTTTTATGACTTCTTTTATCTCAGTGCAAATTACTAAGGGTGAATTATGACTGCAAATAGGAGGCTTTAAAAACACTGAAGGTTTACAGCTGCAGAGTGTTGATATTCCAGGATCTCTTTCTCACATAAGTTTGAAAGCACTGTAGTGCTCTGAGCTTGGTGCCTGCTTTTGAAATGATAAAATGTTTTAACTGTGATTCCCCCCACCTTAATCCTAGGTCCCAATTAAGCAGTAAGAGCAGTAACTGCAGTAATAATTTCTCTTTGCACTGATCTAATCTGAAGTCACGAGCAGCTGCAGTATTTATGCTACGAAGGATTTTTCCCCTTTGGCATATATTGCACAGGCTGTCCCTTGATTCAGTTACAAGTGCTTGAAGGCTATTGATTTTTACTCTGTTTTATGAGAACTCTCCTTTTTAATTTCTCAGGTTTGAATTTGATTGATCAGGTCATGTGATAAAAGTATTTATGCATCTGATTACCTGTTTATCTGGTCAGAGAAGAACTAGGTCTAACACAAAACCCACTTTCTGCTTCTTGAGCTGCAGGAGATCAGGAGCTCTGGGGTATTCTCCCCCTCCTCCTGCCAGATCACACTCATGAGGTGGCTGTAAACATGAATATTTCTGAAGGGGAAGTGTCGTAGAGGCATTGCTTACTGACATCCTAGAAACACACAGCATGCATAGAAATTACTGTACCACGGAAATAACCCCGGGTGTTCATTAGGCTGATTTGGGTGTGTTGCTAGGCAACTCGGGGCAACAAGGGGGATTTTATGTATTCTTTTGGTAGGTACAGGTCTCTGTAGAGATTTCCAGGTAAGTAACAGAGCCGTGGGAGAAGCTGATCAGCTGCCACACCAGAAGTTAAGTCCTACAAACTTAACTTTCAAGAGGAGTTTTTCCAAGGAAGAAATTGGATTAGACCCAGAGATGACGTACCCTGTTTGATTTCTTTTCTCCTTGCACTCTGACCAGCTTTGTGTTTAGGCAGGCTTTTGTTTCTGGCTCCGAGTTGCTTTAAAAACATTTGGGAGTGTGTCTCGGGGTGTTAAGGGTGATGTGCTTAGCTTGATTGGCGCGGCTTGCTTGGGAGTGCTTTGTTCTTCCCACCACCCTCAGGTCAGTTGTGCAACATGCCCCTGCTGCTCAAAAAGAAAAAAGGAAAAAAAAAAAAAGAGAAATGCTGAGTAATGCCAGAGGTTTCTCAAATGGCTGATGCAAACCTGGAGAATTTACATCATCATTCAGCTGGAGTAACTTGGTATGACAAGAGCTTAAATACAAGTCCATGCGGAAGCTGAGCTGGTTCCCAATGATAGGGCAGTACCAGCTCGCAGTGTGAAAGTGCAGGTGTTCCTGAGCAGTGCTCTGATTGCAGTAAAAGCTCAAATACACTTCAGGAGCGCTCTACCTGTGTGTAGGAGCAGCTGGAAAGATAAGAGAGGGCAGAGGAAGAGACCAAGTGGTTGGCTACACAGAGGTGGTGGTGGGGGGGAAGTCTTGAGTTTCTGCTGAAAACTTTTTTCTCTGTGCTTGCTGTCCGTGTGCTGGTGGCACTGTAGCATGTATAGGAAGGCTGCTGTAACCACGGTCTCTAATGGAAGCTACTTTCAGGGGCAAGCTAATGGCAGGTTGCCCTCTATGGACAGCGAACAGCCAGCCCAGGAGGGAAAAGTTGTGCTGAAGAAGAAAGTGACACTTTTGAGAGGGATATCCATCATAATTGGCACTATCATTGGAGCTGGCATCTTCATCTCTCCCAAAGGCATCCTGAAGAACACGGGCAGTGTGGGCATGTCCTTGACTGTCTGGACAGTGTGTGGTATCCTCTCGCTCTTCGGTAAGTCCCTTAAAAGTTTCTAATTAGTCCAGAGGGGAGCTGGTGGATTATTGCTATTATTTGTCTGATTTTGTCATTGGATGTCAAGGTACAGAGTGGAGTTTAAGGACCAATAGGGCTACAGAAGGCTTTTTGCTGTGTGATAGGTTGTGTGGAGGGCGCAGAGGTATGCAACTGCTGTCCCACCAGTGTCTGGTCAGTCAAGTTGGAAGCATAAATACTTGATTGGGGTCCCTAAAGGAACAGGAAAAGTAAATGTCCAGTTTATGCCATGCATCATGATGTATGTAGAGTGAGTTTTTTTATGGATGGCCCCCAGCAGCTGGGGATGGGGGTCACTCCACTCGAACACCACGTGAATGTTTAGCCATCTAAATTTAGTTCCCTGGAGGCTAGAGCAAGGTCTGAGGGGAATAATTCCCTCTGGAACTAAGCTGTATAGGCATACAAAGGAACAAAATAGTAATAACACTAATAACCCCTCTTGCCAGTCTTTACTTCACTCCTTCCTCGTGATGTTGCTTTGACAATTTGAGCTGCAAAAAACAACGTAATGGAAACAAATTTGTAATGCAAGTTTTTTTTGCTGGCCTGCGTACCGTGACAGGCCAGCAGTTATCGTATTTTACTAATTTTGTGTACTTTTGAAGAGTGTTAAATTCTGAAGAATGCCAGTTTATTTGTTCTGTACACAAAGCCTCCATTCAGAGTGGTAAACTGCACCTTTGACTCAGTGGGACAGAGGGGTTCACTGACCTACTTAATGAGCTAATCTTAAGGAGGCTGAAGAACTAGCAGGAATATTTGCTTTATTTAAAACGTAAATGACTTGTTTTCTGGCAGGAGGTAAAGAGGGCAAAGACTGGCTAACATGTGTCTGCTCAAAAGCTAGAACATGCAAATGCCGCCCTGTGTAAATTGGCTCTGATCTTAAAAGAAACATGGGCTGTTTGCGAGCTAAGCCCACCTGAATCAGACGGACTGAGTTTAGAACCCGTAGGTCACATGTTAAATGTATTGTACAATGTGCAGTGTAACCTGTTGATCATTATTTGATAACAAGCAAATGTGTTAGAAGGCTTTCACTTAGCGGTGGCTGGGTGGGGAGCTGGGGTAGCTGGCATGACACAGCATTTTATTGTCCCTCTTCATGAGATGTGTATGAGTAATGAAACGTCTTGATAGCAAACAGTTCCTCCAGTGGCTTTTCACCCGAGTGTAACTAGATACATGTACTGTTTGGTTAACTGCAAGCCTAGCTGAATGAATTAAAACTTACCTAATTGCCTGAAAACAGTTATTAAAATATATTTAAAGTAGTTGTGATACCACAGCAGCTCTGTTGTTTTGTTTATAAAAGTTTTGAAAGGTATTTCTGGATATCTCTTGTGATGCCAAAGTTTAATTCTCACAGGTGCCCTCTGCTATGCTGAATTAGGAACGTGCATTAAGAAATCTGGTGGTCACTATACTTATATCCTGGAGGCCTTTGGCCCCTTACCTGCTTTTGTGAGAGTCTGGGTTGAGTTACTCATCATTCGGTAAGTTTATTGTGGTTTTTCTGTGGTTTTTTTTTTGTTTTTTTTTTTTTGTTTTTCTGACAGCAACACACTTTTCAATCCTAAAGAAAAATCTCCACTCTGTGGTGGGCAAAACAAGTCAAATATACCTTGATCAGTGAGCTGTGTTCTTTTAGTATGGTTACTTCAGATAACACAACAACACTATTTTGCTTGTCAGGATTGAAACAGTCAAGGAGATGTGCATGTATGGGGGAGAAAAAAATGATTGAAAGAAAACTGCCTGCCACACAAATTCAGCTACTTGCATTAATTTTTCTAAGCTTACTGTATCCATTAATGTCAAAAGTAATGCCGATATCTGTGTCTATATGTCTTATAGTGGAAGAGGGAAGTCACCTTTACGTTTTCTCAGTCTTGCCACTGGCTTTTGGAGCAGTTGCTTTTGTCTGTGGATACAGGAATAACTCCTGGTGAGGCTATTGCCCAGTAGTTTTCAGATTTGGGGCGCTACGTGTTCTTCATATGACAGTTCAGGTCCCCATTTTTTTGGTTTTGTGGGATGTTGGAAAGCTTAAATCCTGATGACTATGAAAAGCACTAACTGGCCAGATAAGGCAGTGTTAATTCTTTACATATCTAGCATTCAAAGTATTGTTTTGGTATGAAGGCCTGTGACTCCTGCAGCTCTTGACACTGTATAGGTGAATTACAATATGAAGATGCCAAATCATGTCAAATATATTTTTGTAATTTAAATGGATCTTTGCAGCAAACTCAAATATGCCCCTTCTTTTTTTTTTTTTTTTTTTTATGGTATCACTGAAGCTGGAGGGCTTGTTACAGGTAGAACAGGGGCAACTCACTTATAAAACAACTTTGGGAATGCTCCAGTCCTGCCTCAGGCTAGTTAGCACTCCTTTCCCCTCTCTTCCGCAATCAGCAAATTAGTCACAGAAGTGCACGCCTCATTTCAAATCACGACTATGTTTACATAATATCAACAAGTTCTAGCATAGATTTGAGTTTAAAAGCACTGACAGTGCTGAGTCATTATGAATCCAAGGATCTTTATCTTGTTTCCGGAGGAAGTAATCTTGTATGTCAGATGGTCCCTTACATCCTCACCCCCAAAAGTAAACTTTGCATTAACTCTGTAACTTCCATCAAATGTGATGAAAGAGCAGATGTCTTAACCCTATTAACTTCTTGACAAAAGGAAAACCAGACAGGGAGCAGATCTATTTTTAAACTGTGAGAATCACAGTGCTGTGATCGTATCTATACCATTACACATCCCAGGATCAAGAAAAGAGTCTGAAATATCCCCCTCTTAACCTGCACCTTGCTAGGCAGGCAGACCTTATGAACGTAGGCACAAACACCAACAAGAAACCAGGTTTCATAAATTCCTCTCCTTGCAAAATTATTGCTTTTTTACATATGACAGTGTCCCAGGAATGTCACAAAAACACTCTTAGTCACCATGATCTGCCCCACACCCAGTAAATAATCATCTTGCGTTGGAAGGAATGTCACTGAATTCTTTAATCATCAAATGTGAGAGGTAGCAAGCGAGGTGGACTTGTTAAAACTTGTGATGATCAGAGCAGCGCTGCTGATGCTCTGTGTAGGGTTTAATATGTGACTCCTGCATTGGTAAACTAATTGGCTGCTACTATCAAAGAAGTTAAGGACTAATACGTATCTAGTTTTTTTTTTTCAATAGATGAAGTTGCACAGACACTTCTCAGCTAAGCTGTTTTTAACTCTGAAAGATCACAGGATTATCACACCCACAGGCTGGCAAAGAAGCCCCAACCAGACTCAGCATATCCTGCTCTCATATATCTTTTCAGCCACTATTTTACAGTCTAGGGCGCACTTAAACTGCTCACATACTGATTAAACTGTGCCAGAATTACCTGCAGTTTAGGTGTACCTTATACTGTGCTCCTCCTCATCCAGTACAAGTAGGAATTTTTTTCTCCCCAAAAGTCAGGTTGCAGGTATATTACGTGCCTAAAAAAAAAACCAAATAAAAAATAAAAAAATAAGAGGCTAGCTTTCAAACAAGTGAATAAGACTATGTGAATGCATTGGCTGTAGTGATTACCTGTAGTTGTTGCTACATATAGGCTGGGTAGAGGAAGCTGCCAAGCGACTGACTCACTTGTGGTATGTGCTGGGGCACTATACCTGCTCCTTAGCTGATGTTTTTTGTGCTCCTTGCCTTTCAAAGAAAGCTGCTGTTGTCCTTCCTGTCCACTCCTGAACTCACAGTAATTAGGGGGCTGCTGGCCTGTCCGTAGGATTGTGATCAAAAGGAAAATGTCCCATTCCTTCAACTTCCACCTCCCCTGGCTGACTAAGCTGCCAGCAACATCTCCCCTCAAACATGTGCATGCGAGAGACACAGCTATGAGAAGTATAATTTAGGAACTATGTTTTTAAAAACATAGTGGTGTGGATAAGAGCGACTGCCTCTTCAAAAAGGCCTGTCTTAAGATGAGAAGGAAAAATCCAATTTCTGGAAAGAGGAGCTGGGACTGAGGGGAAAAAAGCCTGGGAAAGCTCCAAAGATCTGATCTTTCGTCTGATCTAGGACACTTCAAACTACTTTTGGCAGCCTGAAGTGTTGAAAAGCTGGAAGTAAGCCTGGTGATCTTATGTAAATTAAAAATACTGCACCCAGGTAAAGTCATAAAATGTCTGTGTAAATCAAACACAGAGGACATTTGGTCCCTGAGCAAAGGCAAAAATTGCTAAGCCAGCTGCTGGCCAGTGAGAGCAGCCGTCCTCATGCGTGGGGGATGCACAAGCCACAGCCCTGATTTGTCCATACAGAAACTTTCAGAGGAAGAAACTTCTGGTTTTTACTGCTCTGCAGTTTGGTTCAATGCAATGTGTGACATTTGGGTTGAGTCATAACACTAAGAAAGTCGGTTCTGTTTCAAGGGCAAAACTCTTCTGTGGAAAATTCCTTTATTGTCTGATGGAGAATAATAACTCCTCTGCAGAATTTTTACACTGTTTCATAGCATATTTAGCAATGATATTTCTATTCTAATTCTTTAAGGTGAGGCATTATTTTATTAAATGCTCTGGATCTTTTTTTCCACAATCAATTTGCATGGACTCTTGTTTAACACAAAAATCCTTTAAGGCAGAATCGTATTGCCTTTTGTCCTTATTGTGTGTGTGATGAAGCACAGAAGCCACCAGCTGTTGTGAGAAGGGTGAAAGTGTCCTCCCAAACCAAACGTGAACAGGTCACTGGACCTGTTATATGCAGACAATGCCTGATCTGAGACACAGGATAATTTGTTGTTAATTGTGCCAGTGCTAAGGCTTCTGGCAGACCTTTAGCTCATCTCAAAGAGAAAGGCTGTATGAACATTGTGTATTTCAAATTTGTAAAGGCAACAACTGCATGCCTTCACATTTCTCTCATGGTAGGTGCCTTCTGTGCTTCAAGGAATTTTGATTTCACTTGTAGTGCTAGGAAGTTGTCAGTCAATAAAAGAAACAAATTCTGTTTGCATTTTAGGAAATATCATTTTCATTCATTTGTTGCATGGTCTCAGATTTTAATAACAGCTTTGAGTAGGTTTGAGATACTTATTTCAATATAGCAGAATTCTCAGCTTGATTGAAATTAATTTGCTTGTGTCTGAGGGGTGGTGAGATATAACTGGCCACTAAAATTCACTCCTCAATGACTTTTACTTGGAGTTTTGCCCATGTAATCTAATTTTGGCCTTGTTCACTTTGAGCAAGTGAATGAAGGTTTCTCTTGATACCTTTCTTTTCTGTTTATGGCTGCTTTACAGCATGGAATTTGCAAGAATAATCCTGGTAAGAAGTGCTGCTGTCAAGATCAGAACAGCTGAGCAAAACTAAATTGCTTATGGTTCCCTGATACATTCAGAGATCACAGTACATGACAGCAGGTTACTAGCACCCACCAATATTAAGTATGATTCACAGCTCTGTGATAATAAAGCACGATCCCATAAGGATATTATCTATTGTGGATTAACTTTGTGATTTTTCTTCTTGTTGTTACTCTAGCCCTGCTGCCACAGCAGTGATATCATTGGCCTTTGGACGTTACATTTTAGAACCTTTCTTTATGCAGTGTGAAATCCCAGAACTTGCAATTAAACTTATTACAGCTGTTGGCATCAGTAAGTATCTAATTTTAGTTTAAGGGAAGGGTAAAGAAGATATAAACTGGGGGAGGGGGAAGTAATTGAACACTGAACAGTTACTTGTTTTGTACGAATCATTACAGAAGGGCTGTGTGTCCAATGTCAAGGGCATTGGTGTGACTTTTTGCCTGGGTATGTGTGTTTGTGAACATACACAGTAGTAAAGAGAATAGCAGCCTTTATTAATGGCAGGCAAAATCTATTGCCAAGGCTGGTCCTGTTGCCACTTGAATTAATGGCAGAACTCTCATTACTTTTGTGTAAGCAATTTCAGTCCCTAAGAGATGGTGAGCCAGTGCCAGAGATGTGGAAGAATGACTGCCTGATTTTAAGCGCTTTGCTCTACCTCTGCTTTAGGAGGCAATTGAGTGCCAAGTATAATGCCAATGAAGAAATGTAGTTCTCTGGAGTGGAGCACAGGCAACAGGAGATCATCATCCCTAGTGCCACTCTGTCCTTCATAGCAATAAAACTTATTGGGGCACTTGCAGTTTGGAAAGCAGAAACCCAACTGATGACTTTGGGAGAAGGGTGTGAAGATTGGTGAAAATGCATATCTGTTACAAGCAGCTCATCTTACTCTTGCTGACTTTGAAATTAGTGTGAAAAGGACTCTGTAGGGCTAGAGACAATCAATAATTTCCAGTGGAAGGATGCAGGCTACCCTGAGACCAGGAACTTTACAGTGTACCTGGGCTGGTGTGGGTATGAAACAAGAAAGCACAAATCATGATGCAAATGGGACTCTGCAGCACTTTGTCTTTAGCACTAGAGGCTTTTTTCGTGTTCTGTCTGGTCCCTGGTTATGATGCTCCTTGCACAAGTGTGCACACATTTGTATTCAACTGTGTTGGGAGAAGAGTGATGAGTAGACCTGAGTAATTAGTAAGGGATTGTTTCTTTCAATTTGGTCAGTGCACATCTCAGAAACGAAAGGACCGGAAAAAGGAATTAAGACATGCAAAATGATCGAAGGCACACAGGAGACCCCTTCAGTTTTCCACAATAATAGGTTCAGATGCCTTTTTCTTTCTTTGGGGTAGGGAGTTCAATTGACATTGAAATTTCCAGTCTCCAGGTTACGGTGGTTTTTTTTTGTAGGCACTCTCTTGACAAGAGTTCCCTTCTGCCCAGAGTGTTAAAAAATCATTATGTGACCACATTTCTTTCTAACTTAATTATGCACACACTATAGGTTTCATAGGAATAATTGAATTAAGAGCTTAAATTTTGAGGTCAATGACTTTTTATAGCTACATCTGTCTAAAATATTTCAGTGCAAGATAAGGGTGAAACAGATGTTCAGTAACTTCAAGATCACTGAGACAGAAGGAATTTTAAGTGAGGACTCCATCAAAGCATTTTGTTAAGTGCATGTGATTCAAGCACAATAAGTGAACAATTCAAAATAGGTTTTTATTGCTTTTAATTTAATTGAAAATCTGTGTGATGAGCCAGGGCATTGCAAAGTAATTAAACAAAGAAGTAGCACTGGGTGGGGAGGGGGTGGGTGGGCAGCAGTGCCGGGGAGGGGGTGGAGTTAAACTGAAATAATTAGAGCATAAAGGGAGAGAGGAGTTCAGGGCAGAGTGCTTCTATGGTGAGCGCAGGTCTGCACAGCGCAGGTAGGATGAGGTGTCATGTCACTGAAAGAAGGGATTCTTTATACAAAGTTTGTAGCAATGAATGGGACAGCACTCAGGAAGAAAGTGGCATGTCAGAGGCTTGATCTTTATTTGCAGTATGCTCTACAGTGGACTTTCATTTGTAGTAGTTTTTGATTATATGCTGCACTCAAGCTCAGGGATCCCAGAACACATGACTGTTACTCTCATAGGGTAAGAATTAGTTGCTGTGGTGGTAATCATAGAATCATAGAATAGTTAAGGTTGGAAAGGACCTTAAGATCATCTAGTTCCAGCCCCCCTGCCATGGGCAGGGACACCTCACACTAAACCATGGCACCCAAGGCTCTGTCCAACCTGGTCTTGAACACTGCCAGGGATGGAGCATTCACAGCCTCCCTGGGCACCCCACTCCAGTGTCTCACCACCCTTACAGTAAAGAACTTCCTTTAATTAAGGTGGTGTTGAGCTGAGCAGACACATTGGAGCCCTGAATAATCCAGTTTAATGGTGCCAAAGGTAGTCTTTGCTTCCATTGAAAATTTTAAGTTAATCAGGAAGTGAACTGCCTTTTGTCTTCTTATCATCTCCTGGTCCCTTTTCCCTCTTGTACCTCATGACAGAGTGTTCATTGCATATCCGTCTTTACTGCATGAGGGAAAGGTAGTGGGAAGCAACATTAAACTCTGTCCTTGGGTGAGACTTTGTTCTGTAGTTTTTACCTTGTCATTTCTGATCATACTAGAAAGGGCATGAAGAGATTCTGAAAAATCTCCAGGTGATCTCCTGCCGCCCCAACACAATTAGTGTATCTAAAAGATTTCTGAGAGATCTTTGTTTAACCTGGTCTTAAAACCTCCAGCACGGATGTTTCTAAAACCTCATCTAATATTGTGGCTTGATTTTTTTTTTTTTCCTGTCCTTGTCACAAGACATCTTTCCCCCTGCCCCTTCCTTTTCTGCAATTTAATCCTATTACTAAAAGGTTACCCAAGATGGATGCAACCAGAATTGTGATGGAGAATGGCAAATGCTGTTGCTCCTCTGCAAGCTGCAAACAAGTACTTCTCATGGAGGGGCTACAGCCTGTTCTGATCCCCACCACTCCACCTCAGTGTCTCTAGGAACAATGGTGCTGCAGAGAAGATGTAGCTCAGATGAGACCTAAAATGGAACTTCTGGAGAGGGTAACCTTTAAAAACCCCCTCATTCTTGGTTTTGTATTTATAGGAAAAAAAGTATGCACTGGGCACAAAGATCTCCTCAAAATCATCTCTGTTCTGAGGAATTTCGAACAATCTTTATTCTGTTCCACAGTATGATGCTTGGGGTTTTGTGGTTTTTGTTTTTTTTTTTTTTTTTAAATATAATTATTAAACCAACCAGGCAAAACGTCCAGGCATTTCAGGGGCTTGGTAGAGAGAAGGATGCTTGTGTGGAGGTTCTCTGCAGATACCCCAACTTTCTGAATCTCTGAAGCAAAGGCTGCCTGTTTTTTTCAAACTTGGAGATTGCTTTTATTCACTTGGTATTTCTCAAGTGTATCTCTGCAAGGAAAAAAGCCTAGGCAAATGCTGGATATGGATATCTTGGTCAGTACTGGAGAGAAGAGCAGACAGCTCAGAGATATCTAATTACTACAATTTTTATGAAAATAAGTGGCCAGGTAGAAGAGAGAGAACCTGGATGCCCCCAGCGTAAGGAAGGAGAGCTGAAGAAAATACAAGCAGGAGGAGAGACCTTTTAAATGCCAGCTTTGCTTGAGTTGGACACAACAGCCCCAGAACACAAAGCAGCAGGGATAATGTCCATGTTTGTTCTGATGCTGAAGATGGTCTGTTTAGAAGAAAGAGTTAAAAATTCATTTTTCTGTTTATGTGAAAGCTGCTAGATTGCATATTTATTGTTTCTTACAATGAAGAAACATCCTATCATGATTGCAAAGCATGGTGGTAGACAGTGCAAAACCTCCCTATTCGTATATTGCTTTATCTGTATCTTTCAATTCTTCTGCAAATGGCAAACTTAAATATATTGGTAACAGGAAGGGATAAATTATACTGTGCAAAGGTATTGAACTGTACTATCAATATGTAACCTGAATAGATAAGCAATCTTAACTATTCTAATCTTTTCTCTATATCAGAAAGCAGATAAACAGGTTTCAGCTATTAAAATTTGAGACAACTTGCACGTATTTTTAAGGTTTTAATATTCATGTGTATTTTGGGCATTTTACACTACAACAATATAAAATACACCCCCCCCCCCTTTTTTTTTTGGAGGTCTGCCAAAACCCCTCAAATATAAGGCTGTTAAAAACTATGGCTGTTAGAGGCAGTGTTATGCTTGAAAACAAAGGTCAGCTGTATACATCTATCAGTGCTTGCTGGCAAATACTCCAGCCCAAAGCTTTATTGGCATAAATTTGGTGTGTATGTGAGTCTATAGTTAGTTGCTTTTTTTTCTCCCTGTCATGGCCAATGTTGCTCTCTACTGCTGACAGTTTTCAGACAAGCAGTTCAAATTAAGACATCTCTTGGCTTGCAGGGATAGCAAAACCTGCTCTGGTGGGTGCTCTTGTGCCTCCTGTGACTGTTTTAGTTGACACATTAGGATCTGCAAATTGAGGGTATTTTTTTTTTGCTATGTGTGAATGTCTAGATCCTAAAAGCCTGACAAGTGAGGGGAGGGCAGTTACCTTGGTTTCCTGCTGAGGCAGTGGCACATATAGTCTTGAAAAGTAGGCCAGAATGTAATGCCTACTGTTAGTTCTCCCATTAGATTTTTTTTTTTTTATCCAGCTATAGCTGTGGCTGTGTGGAGAAAAGGGATTATGAAAAGCAATACGTTTCTTGTTACTATTGTGTTTGATTGTTCATGAACTCCATTTTATTTTCCCTTCATATTCTGATCGGTCAGGATTCATTTTGCTTTTAGTTAAGTGTTTAGTTTAAGGTAATTGTCTATGCTCCCCATAGTGGAGATAGAGGGGAAGAGATGCTTCCTGAAGACAACTCTTGAGACGGGCATCTGGAAGAGTTGTTATTCATCCTCTGGAGGTAACTGTATCCTCATTGGGGGTGCAGTCATGCTAGATGCTTGACTTCTAGTTAGCAAAGTTAGACATGAGTCCTCCTTTCACTGTCCTTTTGTCTGGGGAGTTTCTGCTTCCTTCTGATCTTTGATGTGATTCTGTATCACAGTGTCTGCAATCAGTTTCTTGAAGTATCTCCATAAGGCCCTATTCATAGAAGTGATGTGCTCAATAATGACTACAGTCCCAAGATACAGTTTCCTTCTTGAATCCTGGCACAGCTGTCGTATTCTTTTCCTGGTCTTTAGCAGCTTTCTTCATGACTCTTCTGTTTCCTTTTGCTATCCAGTTGCTAATACAACCAGTATGGCGCTGATACATGATAACAATATAAGCCCTATATCCTTCTATGTCTGTTGTGCGCATACAGCTGCTAAGACTAAATAAGTAGGCTGTAAATTCCTGTAGCCTATTAAGTCCAATAAAATGAAATTCCCCAAAATACCAAATCAGTCTTAACTCTTATGAGAACTTGAGTCCTGGCCCTGCAACCTGAACCTGAACAAATATTTGTGTAGTTGTCCAAAGGACTTACTCTGACAGAGGACCATCAAAACTAATGGCATGTGCGCTGGACTGTGCAGGTGTAGGGTCCCTTCAGCTTCCCAATTAAATGAAGGTCCTTGCGGTATCCATTTTGCTTTCACTATTTCATTAGAAAGCCTCAGATGAAATATTTGGCTGGCTTGAGCTCACAGTTGGGAATGGAGAAGTTTTAACACTGCTTGTGATCGGACCCAGCCTGCATTTGTTATTTTCAAGCTAGTGCAGCTCTCCAACAGATCTGGGGCTGTGATTGCCAGCAAGGAAGGTTCTGAGTTTCTGTGTGAGTTGACCTTAGTGTTTATACTAGTTTGCTATGCAGTGACATTCTTGTATGTGTATCAGAAAGGTGAAACAGATGCATTAGAAAACCATGAGGGGGGCTCTCTGCAGGGAGGCTGCTCATGCTACCTATTCTGACCTGTGTAAAGTAACAGACAGCTGCAGTCAGCTTGAACTCTGAATAAGCTGGATGTCAATATCTTGATACTTTCTTACACATTAAACTCTTCCTTGATATTTTCTTGTGGCCTGGTCTCTGACTGGGCTTCGTCTTCTGGGAAAGAGGTATGATATCCTGAACTTTCTAAGAAATTTGAAATAAGCCAGTGCTTGTTTATGGCATTGGATTGTCTTTATAAGTCCTTCATAAAGAAACACTGTTGGTCTAATGAATATTTTGAATATGTTTTATTGAATATGTTAACCTTCCTGGTAATCAAGCCCTGGGAAAAAAGGAGGAGCCTCAATCAGTGCTAATATTCAGCAGCAACCAAAAGAGATCTTTCAGCATTTAAAAGTGAAGGTACGTCAGGGACAACAGAGTAATGAATCAGGCCCCTGGGATTTTCTGTTTCCTGGCAAGTATAGGTATGCATGGAAGTAATAAAGCAAAAAATAAGTGTTTCTATCTCAAGTGGAACTTTGCAGAAGTCTAACTGATTACTTCATGACTTAGGTAAGAATGCCTTGGTTCCAAAATATGGTGAAATATGGAACTGGAAAAACATTTTGACCTTTAAGATCTTCTTTTGGTGAAAAATTTGCATTAAGTGATGTTGCAAATATATATTGACTTTTGTAAATTGCACATTTGAGAGTGGGGCCATCTCCTCCCAGATAAAAATTCCAGGAAACACTTTCATATTTTTTTCCTGGAATTTTTATTTGATTAAAAATATCTAAAAAATACATTGCAATACAGATTACTTGGAATTTTCTTCCTTTTCCATTAAACTTTTGTTTAAACTGAGAATTTTTTCTGATATGTATGTTTTGGCCTTGCTGGTGAACAGAATCTGTATAAAAGACTTGGGATAAATCAGTGTGGTTTGCTGCCAGAAAGTTTGTACCATGCCAGATTTACAATGCCAGCTCGTACAAACTAGCTCCCAGACTCTGGCAGGAGATAGCAACTCGAGTTTTTATGTGCCCCAGGATGTGTTGATATGGCTCATGATACAGATGAATCAGTGCTCTTGAAAGAGTTTGAAGTATGGGAGAACTCTGGTGAGGAGCTAATTCATTAGCTCCATATGATGGCAAGAAAGAGGAGATAAGTCAGCAGGCTTGTTTGACTATGTTCCCCTTTCCCAACAGCAGAGAGGGAACCGGACTTTTTATCTAGTGAAGTGACTCACATTTTCCATTCTTTAGGTACTTTAAAAAAAACCCATAATGTAAACTCCTCTACTGATTATGTTTTTCCAGGGTAATAGTTTAAATAAGCTAGAATAACTGGCACTCAAATGATAAGACTTACAGTCCTCCTGTCAGTCAGTGCTGTAGTAAAGGCCAGAAGATGCCCTCCCTGACCCGGAAGGAGATGTCAGCCAAGCAGACAGGACGTAAAAGTCCTTCTCACTTCTCTCTCTACGTGTTGCAGACCTGGGCTTTGTTTTCAAAAGTTAAAACTCTCTATTTCTTCACCAATTCCCAGCAAGGATGGGTGTGCTACTTGCACTCTTGCCTTCCTGTATATCTGATGGTACAGCAGTAAGAGAGGAGAAAGCGTGGAAAAGAGGAGCAGAGGTAAATAAGGTAGTGAGTGAGTGACCAATTTATGTGGGGTCTAAATGTGGTGTGAAAGTTTAATATGATCATTAATTGTTACTGTTTTCTGAAAATGCAAATCTCTACTCAAAGTGGCACTGGTACAGAAATCTGGAGTGACAAGGGTTGGGCAATTAGTTTCTTTTATTCAAGGCAGGCCCCTGCCAGCCAGTTGTTTGCCAGCAGGTAACAATTCTGGGTAAATGAAGCTGTAATTTTGTGTGGAGGGAGCCAGCTGAAGCTGAAGGTTATCAGGGTGTGTTGCCTTTAATGCATTAGGATCTAGGCGGTGTATGGCCTCGCTGCTGGTGAAGAATTTTGTGACGATTTCGGCAGCATGACTATTTCTTTCTGATTTTGCTTTTTCCCCTTGCAGCGCTGGTGATGGTCCTGAATAGCACAAGTGTCAGCTGGAGTGCCCGCATACAGATATTTCTTACCTTCTGCAAGCTTGTAGCAATTCTGATAATTATAGTCCCTGGAGTTATCCAGCTAATTAGAGGTATGAAATGAAAAGTAAATGCTTTTAAAGTGCTTTTATCTTTACCCTCCCCAGTCTTTCCCCACCTGCCTCCACCAAATAATGCTTATAGCAGCAAAATCTCTTAATTAGTCTGTGCTTGCTTAAACTGAAGCTTTGTACTGTCATGTAATTGATTTGAAGTGGAACTACACTGGGATGAACTGGTATTTCCTTCAGCATGCCAATGAGTCTATCCAGATCACAGTCATGTTTTAAATAAGCAACAGGATTGCTCTTCTCTGTAATTTGCCTTTGGTGTGAACTTTGTGGCAGGGGCAGGATGGGTTTTAATGACAGATGGGTATATCCCTCCCCAGAGCACCCTCCTCTTTGGGCAGAGTATGTCTCCTTTAACTGGGCTAGTGCCTAGTCTGCTTGGTACTTCAGGAGGCTCAGTACTGGGGAATATATGAAAGAAACAGTATCATGGATGAGGTTCTATCACTTTGGTGATGCAAATTGTGAAGTTAAAGGTGCTGTACTGGCAAGAGAAACTGTAGTCAGAGAGTGCTTTCATGGGCTTCCTGCTTACAAATACTGGATGCTCATGCTGCAGGCACACTTTACTTCTTCCAAGTGAAAAAAAAAAGCATACAGCTAAACGCAATAGTCTGGGGCTAACCCAAGCGTAGGAAAGGAGATCAGAAGTGTTTGGAAGGACAGAATGACTCTACAGACTTTATCAGTGCTGCTGTATAAGCAAGGAGTGTGAAAACACACCTTTGTTCTCCTCAGCAGCGCCCAGCACGAACACAGCTGTGGAGGCCTTCCTTTGGCTCTCTGGAAGGTGTTTGGGTAAAGCCATGCCTGCAGAGAAACTCTTCTCACTGTTTTACGCTCAGCTACCTGAAAAGGCTTTTCCATTAGATCCCTGTCAGCAGCAGCTGTGAGATGGTGAGAGGCCCTAGCTCGCTGTCATTATAATAACGCTAGAAAGTAACTACAGGGAGCCCAAGAAGCCATTCAGCACAGAAGGCCAGAACGGGGAGCACTTTTTAATTAATTGGTGGCAGATTTCATCTAACAAAAAATTATCATGGCTGTTGGCTGTGTCCCTGGGATGCTCTTCTGTGATGCTGTGCAAACCCTCCTGCCTGAGTCAACAGGGCAGAGCTAGGTTCTGCGGTGAGCTCAGCTGCTCGGGGACAGGCGGCTCTCTGTGGTTAGCAATAGACTCTGAAATAAAACTTTTCCTGTGTAGCGCTCCACTGAGTCACTGTTTCTGTTTTCGTGTTTTTCACTTCCTTTCTGGCAGCTGCAATGCCTCTTGCCTTACCTCCTTTCATGTGCAAAATGCCCCTCTGTTCCCATCTGCCCCATTTTTCCTAGACCTTTGAAGCAGGCCAGACCCAGGCTTGGATGAGGTTTGCTACCCTTAAGTAGCTTGGATAGTGTTCCTGACTCCCCACTGGGGTCCTACCTCTGGCTGCAGCTCTTCACTTACCCAAAAAGCCCCTTCTTTGGTGGGAATTTAGACTGAGGGTTCAGTAAAAACTGAGTAAAGGTTAGAGGATTTGACCTATTGTTAATTTAAGTCTGAATGAATTCTGTTTCTTCCTGCTCCTTTTCACTGGAGGATCATTGCTTCTCAGGAAATCTGGGATATTGTAGGGAGGTCTTAGAAACCATACCGGACCTTGTAAGTGAGTAAAAGCACAATGTAAATCTTAAATGTTTGCATTTATAGGTCTGTAATTCTTAGCGTAATATTAACACAATACTAATTATAAAGGGAATTGCTAATCTTTCAGCGGTAGAGATACTGGGTTTATTTACCTTAAAAATGCTCTTTTTTGAGTGAAATATTAGCAGCGTTCCTTCTGATTAAAATGTTAAACAAGCGAGATTTTCCACAGCATAAAACGACAGAGCTCATTCTGCTCTTCCGTGTTGGTATAAGTCACTGCTGGAGATGACAGTGAAGTGAGTGTCATGAAGCTCAGAATGCTTTGAAAAAAGACTAATAGGTCAAATTCTGCTATTGCATGACTTAGTGACACCACAAAACCTTTACAGTCAGTGTCAGCTTACAGCTGCAAGGGTTGGGTCAGAAATTAGGGTCAAGGGTAGAGCTGGAAGTTAATGAACTGCTGGGTGATTGAATGTTGCATGGTGTGATATATTTATTTGTTATAAAGTAGGAGATGACAAAAGAGCTTATTTTTCAATATGGTTCTTGTTGATGCTACAGGAGAAACACAGCACTTTAAAAATGCCTTTGCGGGGAATGATGCCAGTGTTATGGGATTGCCACTTGCTTTCTACTCCGGAATGTATGCCTATTCAGGCTGGTAAGTTGTTGAAACTTGTGAGTATTTATTGTGAAAATAAACACTATATATGCTCTAATGAGGAGATTTATTTATATGAAGAAATGAGCAACATATTCGAACTGCATCATGTAGTAAGGGTGGATCTCACCACTGTTCCATATGCTCAGTAGTTATTCTGCAAGCAGCTCTGCTAGGGAAAGATTTTTCTTCTCCAGTGTGCAGTAAGTAAACATGCTCTGAACATTAAAAAAAATGAAAAACAAACCCTCAGACTTTTATTTCTGTTCTTAAGACCAGGAATAAAGGCAACAAGAAAGGGATGTTTCTAAATTTTCATCAAGTAACTGGATAAAAGGATAAAAGAGATAATGAAGCTTTAATTTTTGTTGAGCAAGAATGTAATTACATGAAAAATAATTCTAGGGACTGTTACAAAGTTGTGTGGACCTCAGCCTTTGCTTTGTAAAAGCAGTATTTGAAGAATGAGAACCATGATAACATCAGTATAGACCACAAAACAAGATAAAATGACAGATTCTTATGCCTTTTGCTCTGGGAGAATTGAACCTCACTTTATAAGAAAAGCAACTGGCTTCTGCAGAAGTCAAGTGCTATTGACTGTAAGCAAATATATGAGAATCTGTCTTCAAGTACCCTACTCAGAACTTTATTTCAAGTTCTTTCCCTCTCCCCACCAAAGTACACAGCAGCTGGTTTGAAAGATACTGCTGCTTTGAATCTGCCTTACGATTTATTCATGCTTAGTGAGGGCTCCACACTACACAGCGCCAACATACTTTTGCAACAGCAGTGTGTGGGGAAAAAAGGACAGCTACAGTGAACAGAGTGGGCTTATTCTGAGGCAGCTTTGTCTGCAGGTCTTCCCTTTCCTTTCCATAGCTTCACAGGCAGCCAAGTCCCTTCATCTTGCATAAAAAGGTGAGGGCAGAGAGATAAGGGATTTATATATTTAATTTGGAGGGACAAGGGACTGAGCATTTGAGTTCTCTGTCTGTCGGTAACTCCCAGATTGCAGGAGTATTATAAACATGCATGCTGAAATACTGAACAGAGCTTTTATGTTAAATGGTGATGGTGGGGGAATCCAAGAGAGTCTAAACCCTTTATCTGTGAGATATAAATATATTACCTATATATATATGAAAGCCTGGTATTTTGAAGCCTCAAGGAAATTGAACTCATTATGCAGACAGTCTCTACCTTCTTCCCTCTCTCTCATATAACTGCCTTTGTTTCTCACGTCCATACATGTGATGGTTTCTCACTTTTAAAACTTTAACCTAACTGTACATTTTTGTATGAAGGGAATTCTAAAAGCACTTTTATATTGTTCATCGCTGAGTTATAGTTTATTTGCTGTAAGATGCTACATTAAAAATACTGTTATTCTGTTTCTTCTTTCCCATTTCTTTTCATTTTCCACCAAACGTTCCAAATCCCTACAATAAAAATAATCTCTGTTTTTCCTTTGCACCATCTGACTTTTATTTCAAGGTTCTTATTTGCTACTTATAAAAGAAATTAGCAGGAAAAGAGCTAATTTGGCTAGTGGTTCTTCCCAGCTGCCTATTTGTCTTTGTCACCAGCTCAAATTGATTGCCTCAGAGCATAGGAGAGCAGACCATTAAGTGGAGTGTCAATACCCTTGCACTAACAGTTTCATGGGGCTAAATCAATCCAATAAGCTGAATGTGAAGGAGTGTTACAAGTGTTGGGGTTATGTCTGAGGATGTAGGCAAAGTTTTATGCATAGCCTATGAGGCTATTAACTTTTAATGACACAGCTTTAAAGAACAAACCAAAGGTGTTATCTCTTATGTATGTGTGGGCTCATCCATGTGAAGAGCAAGTGTAGACTATCTGATATATAAAATGCTAGGTGAAAAAGGACAAGTAGAGAAAAGAATGCAAGGAAGCATGTCTCTGCATCACTGATGCCAGGCTGTCAGGTTACTTCTGTCTAGAACAGGACTAAGGCTAGAAAAAAAGTAGCTGAATGTCTTACTCTTTGAAAGCCATTTCTCCTTTGAACTACCCTAACCTCTTTTTTTTCTGTGCTCTGTGCAATATCAAGTTTAGAAACAAGTACTGGGGTGGTTCTATAAATGCAAATCTAGTTTTTACAGCATTTGGTGCTCAGTCACAAAATCATATTTTTTTCAAAACCACAAGCCAGCGTGAAATTGTTCCGCTAACCCAGATCTGCTCCAAGACCTGTGATGGAGAAAAGATCCACAGACTTTCTGCCAGCTCAGGTACCATCTGTTTATTCACTGTAGCACTCTTGGGTCAGATATCATTTGCCTTCCTGCATAAAAGCAGAAAACCAGCATAAGCACTGTATTGACTGCTCTAATTAGCCAGGATGTGACTTTGTGCCCACACCTGAGCCAGGCACATCTGTATGATCCAGTGATGAGCAGACCTAGTGCTAATAAATGCAGAACAGAGGGTTCAGTGACCTCGAGGCTTACAGTTGCTTTCTATGCAAGGCTGTGCCCATTGAATAGTTCCTATGAATTCCCATACATAGCTATCTCTTGTATGCTGCTGGAATATGACCAGAGAGCAACTTGTACAGGAGGCTGTGTGAGAGCACACAGGATTAGCAGCCTGGGTTTGTGATCGCGTATGACACAGTAGTGTCAAAATACTGGTTTTAGGAGGGTTTCTTTGAGGCCTCATTTGTTTTTATTGTAAATAAGTCCTTGCTGAGTACCTTGCTGAGAATTTTTGCCAATACAACCTGAAACTGTACAAGGCTACAACCACAAATGGAATATGATGCTTTAGGGTATGTGTGTGCGTTTGTGTATAAGATTAGGGTAAACTGTAATATGCCTAGTATGCCAGGGGAAAAAAATAGTTCCACACTGACACTGGAGAGCTTTTGTCTTTTTTTCTACTTTGTTATCTTTTCTAAGAATTCCCTTCCTGGGCATGGGGCTGAGGGAACGTGAAATCTCACACTCTCCTTAACCCAAATCATGGGTCTGCAAAGTCGTCTATAATTGACAGTGGTGTTTAACTAGAGGCATCTTCTTGATTCTTTGGGAAAGAAATACAGAATCAAAATCTACCAAGCCCTTCTAATAGCTTTTATAATTCTTTTCTAGGTTTTACCTCAATTTTGTTACTGAAGAAGTGGAAAACCCTGAGAAGTATGTACCTAATGTTTTTCTTGACTTTTGAGAAATGGTTGTAAATTCAAAATGCTTATGAAATCACTGATCTTCAGAAATTCTGCATTCTGGTCAAGTTGCTTGATTTCCAGCAGATCTGCTATCCATTTGAATTGCAACTGCTTGAAGATTTGCTATTTTCGGCCTGTCATGACCTTGTTATGTATTCTGCTTTTATGTGCACAGAAAGCAGAAAACTAAGTAGATCTCCAGGGCTCTGATTCACCCCCTTAGGATACAAGTAACTATCAGTGGCTCCTTTCAATGGAAGTTACTGGTATCCTGTCAGGGAAATCTTGCTCAAGAAACTTATCTCCTGCAATATTTGGCAGTTTTGCTATGTTTAAATATTAATCAAATACTTAGCTCTACTTGTTTTAAGTGTCTCAGAGTTGCAGGATCTTGAATACATGTAGCACAGCATCCAATCCAATTAAGTGAAGAGGGAATATTGGTGGGAGTTTGTTTCAAAGCAGGTACAAATACACTCCCAGTGTCTGTCTGTAAAATATGGCAAGAAAAGCTGTCCTGTTAGGGAGAGTTAGATTTGGCAGATCTATTTTGGTAGATATGTTTTCATACAGACAGCTAGTAATAATATTAACCTTCTCTAGAAATTATATAAAATACTCTTTGTCAAGTCAAATTATGTTCTTTGAGGAAATTAACAATGTACTTGATTAAAAATTAATGGGTAGACGACATTTTCCTAGGTGTTTAAAATAAGGTGCCTGACTGGGTACCAAAGAACTTACTGTTTAAAAACACCCAAGCACTGTACATGCCGAGAATATGAAGCTACGTAGCTGAGACATCTAAAGAAAAATAGGGAGCATGCAGAAGATTTTTAGCTGGTTTCTTCAAAGTCTGAACCAAGCCCAGTGCTGTTCGGTGTTTTCTTCAGAGACCTGAAAATAATTATAAAGACATTGGTGATTAAACATGTGGATGGCAGAAAGACTGGCAGATTGCTATTGTTTCATTGCCTTTGAGAGGGCTTGGGTGTTAACATGCTCTCTAATGTGATCAGGATAGGTATACAAAGGTATTTATGACTGGAAGCTGAAACCAGACAAATGGAGGTAGATCTGACATTAATATTTAACACTGTGTTTGTTAATCATTAACGCAGATACCTGTGTACAATTGAGATTTTTGTTGGTAATCTTCAGAAAGAACACCTTTTTAGGAGCTGTGCTTTAGTAAAACACAAGTAATTTGCCTCAGTGGTGAGCAGCTGGCTAATGCTTCCTAGGCCTGGGACTTTTATTTTATTTTACTTTATTTTACTTTATTTTACTTTATTTTACTTTATTTTACTTTATTTTACTTTATTTTATTTTATTTTATTTTATTTTATTTTATTTTATTTTATTTTTTTATTTTATTTTATTTATTTTATTATTTTCTTTTAAGAAATCTTTGTATGGTAAATGGACTTAGAAGGAAATATGAAACTAAGTAAAGGAGTTAAGTGATTCTGGTCCAAGCCTTCTACTGCTTCAGGAAATTCTGCAGAGATGGGCTAGGAGCCAAAGACTTGGTGATGTGATCAAAAGTATTTGCTAGAAGCAATATAATTTGTAAATTATCATGTGGTTACCATTAATACTATGTAATATTATTAAATGTGCACATGCCTACCACCCCTTGGGACTTTTCATACACTGATGCGTCTCTGCAGTCCCCTTAACTGTATGACAATTAAGTGAAATTATTGGTAATATTTATTACAGCTATTGTGGTTTATGCTGACTTTTTGTCTTGCGGTTTTTTATTTTTTGAATGTTTTGTGCCGTCTGCTGTGTAGGACAAAGAGGCATAGTTCCTCTTTTTGTATGTTTTTAACTAAGCACCCACTGAAGCATGTTGTATCACAGCTAAAAAAAGTGATATGGATTAGATTTTGGGGTTTTCTTCATTGCATCTGGGATGTGAAGTAGGAAGACACTGTCTTTTCTGCCTACCACCTAGGGAGAGCTTCTCTGCTCTCCCGGTTACCTTAGATTGCTGCTGAAGTTAATTGTGTTGCTAGTGAGGATGCAGGACTACAAGACGCATAGCCTGTCTGGTTCAGGGTATTCCAGGATGGCTCTGGAAAAAAACCCTCAATGTTACTTGTGCAGTGTTGTGGCAAAGCTATTAAAGCTTCACTTCATCACTCTTCGTCCCGGGGTTGCAATTTGAGATGATAAGGGAAGATGCCCAGGTTTTACAGTAGCGTGCCTGGGATCACAATCCATGTAAAGGCATAAATATATAGTAGAAGAAGTTGGGATTTTAAACATTGCTAAATAAGTATCAGCTGATGGCAGGGCAACTGGATTGCTACTAGCTGGGCTGGTGGAGACTTTTGCATCACCTGTGAATAGGAATTGTGGACTCTATTAACCCAAACCAAGCAATTAAACTAAACAGTTAGAATATTGTTTTTATCCAGTTGCCAGCTGTGAATGGCTCTCTTGGAAAGACTTCCTGCTGAATAGAGACCTGTTCCACCACCATTCCTAAGGATCCAGGGCAAGGGAATATTGTAGACTAATCCCAGGGACAACTGCTTCAGTTCCTGCCAAACAGCACAGACGTTAGATGAGCCCCTATTGTTCTGCTATTGTAGGCATTCATTAGAACTCAATTGCTTTTTCATTTTTTAATTTATTTTTTATTCATATTTTTACCAAAGATCATAGAATTTTAGGATTGTTTATGCTGAAAAAGACCTTTAAGATCATTGGCTGTAAATATTAACCCAGCACTGCCAAGACCACCACTAAACCATGTCCCCAAGTGCCAGATCTACATGTCTTTTAAATACCTCTATGGTTGGCGACTCAACTACTTCACTGGGCAGCCTGCAATACTTCATAACCCTTTTGGTGAAGAAATCTTTCCTAATGGCCAATCTCAACCTCCCCTGGTGCACCTTGAGGCAATTTCCTGTCTTTCATTCCTGTTGTATGCCTTATGTTAAAGGTTGCATATAGTGCTGCAGAGCTATTATGTAGCTGTTTTTAAAAGGGAAGAAGGAAGTATAAGCTTGAACTACATAGAATCTGTAACAGCTCCAGGTGTGCAATTTGTAATGTTTGTCAGTGGTTAGGGACACAAATTACTTACAGTGACCGAGGTGAGCACGGTAATGCCTTCTGTACTGAGTGTGCCAATGTAAATGTTTTTCTGAGAATCAGTCACAGCTGTGTATTTCCAGATGTGTGGAAGCTTTTGGAGTAACTGACAGCTGGTACCGAGATGAATGATCAGCATCGTCCCCACATTAACCATCCTGCAGCAAACTGTCCTGGGTTCAGCAGTAGCAGTCATTTTTGTCCTTCTTAGTAGCTGGTGCAGTGCTGTGTTCACAGACTTTCAGCCTGTGAACAACGCTGATAACACCGATGTTTTTAATTGTTGCTCAGTAATGTTTACTCTGACCAAGGACTTTCCGAGTCTCATGCTCTGCCAGGGAGGAGGGGAAGCCAGGAGGAAGCAGAGACAGGACACCTGACCCAAACTAGCCAAAGAAGTATTCCATACCACAGCACGTCATGCCCAGTACACAAACTGGGGCTGTTACCCGGAAGGGCTAGATCACTGCTCAGGTTGGGTTGGGTATCAGTTGTCGGGTGGTGAGCGGTTGCATTCTCTTCCCTTGTTATTTCCCTTATCATTATTACTATTGGTGGTAGCAGCAGTGATTTGTGTTATACCTTAGTTACTGGGCTGTTCTTATCCCAGCCTGTGGGAGTTCGTTACATTCTTTCGATTCTCCTCCCTATCTCTCCAGGAACATGGGGAGGAAGAAGGGTGGGAGTGAGCAAAAGGCTGTGTGGTTCTGAGTTACCGGCTGGGCTTCAACCATGACACAAACACATAATGCAGTGTATCCCAAGAGTTGTGGGGAGGATAGATTCTTGGAACCATAAAATGGTTGGGTTGGAAGGGACCTGAAATATCATCTAATCTAGTTCTAACCCCTTCCACTAGCCCAGGTTGCTCAAAGCCCCATCCAGCCTGGCCTTGAATAACATGGTTGCAATAGGGGGAATGGAGAAATGCTCTAGCAGAGAGAGGAGTTACAGCAGAGCTGCCAAGGACCTGCATTTGTGTAGACCTGGCTTTAAGCCCCTTTATGTGGTGAATCCTCGACTCCCTCTCCACTTTTGTGGTACTGTGGAGGGTGAGAGAGAGATGGGTCAGGGCCCTAGGATATATCCTGAAATGCACAGGAAGGTGAAAACATACACTTTTAGATATTAAAGTTTTTCAGATAGGGATTGCTTTGTTTGCTCTTGTGTGTTCAGCACCAAGAGAGCTTGCTAGAGTACGGCCAATGCCATTGGAAACATAGGAGAGAAGCAAGGGAGGGGAGAGATGCTCACGACCTTGCCCAGCTGAAAGCTGCCTTTGTGTTCCAGCAGAGCTGCTGTTTGTACTGGCAGAAATGGATCCTGAAAGCTGTGGGAGTCTGTGTAGGTGCAGCAGTCTGTCCAGGTGCAACAAATTGCAGATTTAGGTCTATAAATAAGATGAATACTATGGGCCTGAGGCACTGAGATAGCTAGGTGATATGAAATCCTGGAGAGAGAGAGCTGAGAGTGAAAATGAGCCAAGTGAAGAGGAAGAGCCCTTTAAATTATAGAAGGGAGAATGGAAAAAGGGGTGGGGGGAGGGCGGAATCTGAAAGTGAATGCCATTATTTTTTTAACAGATTTTTGGGACTAGTGCTGAATTCTCACTTTGGAAACATCACAGTCCCTTCTTTTGTATAAAAAAAAAAAAAAAGGGACATTATTATGACCTCAATTATCATAAGACGTAAAAGTAGCTGCTTCGGTCTTCTGCTAAACTCCCTTTTGATGTCTCATTTTTAAACCTGGACTCATTCTGTTTATTCCTCTTTGTGAAAGTGCTTCCTTCATACAGCATTATTAGGACCTGAAGCAACACAGCGTAGGTGTTTGTTTTACAAGGAGCTGTGG